CTTGCTCGCGTCTGTCTGCACGCACAAGACTCAGACTCGGATTCGTCACACTTTCGAGGCTCGATGAGCAAGTGGCTGCCGTGCGGAGAGGAGAGGAGAGGCCCTGCAAGCGTGCTGCTCACCGTGTTCACATTCTTGGGGCCGCGTGGAGCCGAGCATGTACCCTGTCGCATCTCGGGTCGCTTCATCGACATCACAATGCTCCGTGTTCCGTCCGGCCACGGCTTCGCAGGCGTTGGCCATGCAAGCCTCGTCTGGCTCTTTGCGAGCTACACAGTATACGTACGTACAGTACAGTACGCAGCAGCGAACCCCTTTTACCTCAGCTCACGAGTCACGACGTTGCAAGGTGAACATTCTCGACGTCTCGCTATTTTTTCAACTTTCAACGCTTCGCTTCGCTGCTGTACGCACTCGTCCACCCCGCTCGGCAGCTTCGCGGCTTACATGTATGTATCGGCATCATGTAGCTGGCATCGGTGTGATCGATATGCTCTGCCGATTTCACGCGATGCCATGGGTTGGAGTAAAGTTGGCCAACGTCGCTAGTGTACTATTGCCCTGACTCTCGACTGCTCGGCAGATTGAAAGCGCGACACAGCAAGTTGGAAGTCACGAGTGCATTGCGCCGTTATGTACCGCTTCTCGATATGCCAACGTGTGCTTTTGGGTCACTTGGTCTAGTGAAAGCGGCCCATCCCGGAATGATTGTCTTTGGAGCCGACACTTGCTGGTGGGTGTGTTGACAGCGCGAGGTACACTTTGCACTGAAGACTGAGCGATGGGCCCCCACGAGCAGGCCGTTCTTGTCGCTTGGTCGCTCCGACGACCTCGGTCCTAGCAGGACGCGCCTCTACCGTGTGGCTATCATGTTACCGTGCAAGTGACGAGTGTTGCGTGCTAACTACACTACTGCAGCGCCGGCATCCGCGGCCAGAGCTGCAATTTGCGTTGCGCTGCATTGAGCAAGCAAAGGAATCGATGTGCGCACGCAGCATCCTTGCTTGCCATTCACGATTCACAATTCGCGATTCACGAGTTCTTGATTGCGATTTGTCGCTTGCAATTAAGCATCGATCAACAGCCAAAAGGCTCGTGCGTTGCGTGACTGGCAAACGGAGAATCAATGTGAGTGATCGCCGCGTGCTCCCCCGCACTCGCTCACACATCACTTGATTCTGCACCATTCGCGACGTGCATGCTCTTTGTGTCTTGCCCCACGTTTCGCCACGGGTCTGCAGAGCGAGGCGAGAGAAGCCGCTGCTGCACATCTGATGTCCATCCATTGTCAAGGAGTCACGAGTACGGTGCATCGGGTGTAGTGAGTCGCGAGGACATGTGCATGACATGACGTCGCAAGAGCATTCACATTCACGATTCATGATTGACGGACGCATCATGCGGTGCGGTGCGGCGCGGTGCGGTGCTGTGCGGCTTTGCAACGTCCGTGCCTCTTGGCTGCCTGTCAACGTACCGTACTACTACACTGCACCGAAGAAAATGCGCAGTGATCCCCGCGCTACTGTTCGCCCCCCACCCTCGCGCGGCCCTTGCAGGTGCTGCAGAGAGCGAGCGGGTCCTCAAGTGAACAATCTGCGAACTTGCGAGCGAGGCGTTCAGTCCATGAACGCGCGCTTTAGCGTTAGCGTCCTCAGCCTCGCTCTCTCCTGCCAAACACGTTGCTTTCACGGACTCTCGATCGTGGAAAGCGGAGTCTAGATCGGCAGCTAAGTGTATGACGCCTCCTCTCGGCGCTTCGTACCGTCGTACATACAGTCTACTGTGCAGCACATGGCCCAGGCTGGACCACCGTTGCAGCTCTGCAATTGCGCAACTTGACTTTTTCGTCGAACAAAAAAGGTGCAGTCTGACTGACCTATGCCACGCTTTGTGCGTTAATGGCAGCAGCAGCAGCAGCCTTTCCTTCGGCGAAAGCAAGTCCCTTATGTCCACTGCATTCAGGACGGAGAGATACGGAAAGGCTCCCCTTCTTTCCCCACACCGAATGTCATGGCGTTTCCCGCGCGCTGGAAGAGGCTACCTGCCTACCTACCTACACGTCAAAGCGTGAGCGCGCGCGCGTGAGAGTCACTCACGACTCACGACTCGCGAGCCGTGCCGGCCAGTGGCATGCACATGATGTGCATGTGTTGCGCGACGTGTAGAAGAGAGCGTGGGGCTCCGCGATCGATGACGGCAGGCACAGGTCGGACGGACTGAGACCCACACTGGACTCGACTGAACGATGACTTGGCGCGGAACAAGCACGCAGGCACGCACGATCCAGCCAGCCAAGTCAGCCTACTCTTCTACACCTCCGAACAACACCTGCAGCTATACATACAGTCACACTCCCCACCATCGCCCATCTGCGCAGGATAACATGCTGTATGTACAGTATGTACCGTATGTATGAGAGAGGGGAGGGATCGGCAAGAGGCCCGAGAGGCGCCTAGTGCTTACATGTACTGCACTCCGAACTCCAAGTCGCGGAGCAGACGAGGAGCAAAATGAAAAAGAGTGACTGACTCCCCTCGATCCTTCAAAGCGTGCGCGGCTGCCCTGCCCCTGCCCCTGCCCCTGCCCCTGCCTCTTCTCGCACGATTCCACGGCATTTTTCACGATTGCAGCAAATTTCAACAAGTGGCTGATCATTCACATTGGCGCGAGCGACCCCGGAAGAGCCGTCGCGGGAACCTGGGGCAGGCTGCAGGTCGGTGATGCACAAGCTCGCCCGCCACCTTGCCTTGCCTTGCCTTGTCTGCAGGGCTGCTGGAAGTCGGCTCCCAGCATGATGATTGATTGATGAATTTGACGCTGGTCTACCAATCAGGCGATGCTGCCGCTGCTGCTGTAGACGGCGCTGTTGTTGCATGCATGCAGCAGCAGCAGCAGCAGCAGCAGAAGCATTGATCTGCAGCAGCAAAATACGGGGAAGGTGACAGGAGGCGCATGCGCGGGTAAGTAAGCAAACGGCAACACGGCGCGGCGCGCTGTCATTGAACGGCGCGCTGGCTGCAGCCTGATCGATCATGCTTGTGATTCTTGATGGACAGACAGACTCACCCCTCCAGCAATCGTGCATCTCATCAGCAAAGCAACGGCGGGCAATCAGCACTTCCGAGGCAAACAGAGGCAGAGAGAGAGAGAGAGAGAGGGCTTGGCTGCCTCGCAATTGGAGGTGCGCTGTGCTGCGCTATAGCGCGTTCTCCTCGGGCCTACCATGCATGAAGGTGTAGAGCGTGATTGAGGCTTTTGGTCTTCTAGCTCTTCGTCATTCAGATTTGTCCAAACAAAAAATACACCCAGATCCCGAGGCAGATGCGTCACAGATGGTGCGCGTGTGTGTGTGTGTGTGTGTGCGCCTGTGTGTTGCGCCTGTGTGAGCGTTCGTGAAAGTGATGTGCGTGTGCGGTGAAGCAATCGCAATCTCTCCTCGACGACAACGACGACGACGACGACGACGAACATCCTGGAATCGGGCATTCCAAACACACGAGACAATCAACACCTACATGGCGGCCTGACGCCTGCGCGACACCCGCTTCCGTGGGCCGCATTGACGTGTGCGCGCAGAAGCTTCCGCCTCGGATGTACTTCATTCGCGACGAGGATTCGTCGAGCGCGTAGGGGTCCGACGTCTTGCGGGAGGGAAAACTGACAAAATCAGGCTTGCCAAGTTCGACTTCATCTTCATCTGGTCCACATCCATCTACGCACATCCTACTACTCGTGTCGTACGCGCCAAATCTACAAACACTCGGCGATTGTCTCGACGTTTCCCTCACCAAGCTGCAACGGTCGCCAACGGTCGAGGTGCATAAATTGCGCTATCACCTACACTCGCCCCGCGACTCAAAACACAAAGTCGGCACAACGGCTCGCAACGGCTTGTAGAACGGGTGAGTGCAGTAGAGTTGAGTGCTTGCTCGTGGGAATGGCAGGGACACTCAGTGACGCGGACGCTGGGAGGGCGCCGGCGGGGGGGGG